ATTATTTCCCTGACCAGACAGTGCACTAGAGCAAAAGGTCGGGACAAATCAGCTGTCAAATCACAACCAGTGACTGTGCAAAACCCAGATTTAGAAAGCAAAAAATAATCTGAGAATTAGCTTTAGCGGTAATCCACCAATATCCACCAGGAGTATCCTCACTGAAACCAGGCATCACTACTAGCCCTTGTGAAAAGGGAGGTTCTAGATGTAGTTTTCTTCTAAGACGAGCAAACTGAGCAAGGGTAAGCCCCAAGCGACTCTTCCACAGAGGGCTTCTGGTCAGGAGAGTATCACTGCTCAACAGAGGGTCAAGTGTCCAGTCTCTCTTAAAAAAAAAGTGTCCAACTCTTACCAAAGTAAAACCCATTCAAAATAGGGTGGAAATAAATTACCATGTCCAGTATTTTTTTTAAAAAGAAATCTGCAAAAGCTTCTTAGCTGAGCTAGTACTAGAGATTCATAAAGGCAATTTCTTATTCCTTAAGGCAACAAGGACAGAAGGAATAAATTTGCTCAATCAGATGTTCCAAGGCAGAGGACTGTAGGAAGATACTCTGGCGCAGGCAGCAAATGCTTCCCGGACAAGTGCAGAGAGGCCTTCCTCCTGATCCATAGAGAATCCAACACTGAATCTCTCAGTGAAGAGCCTCATTACAGTTTTGTAGGCACACAAAGGCCTAGTCCAATTAAACACTGAGGACATCACAATGAACAGGGCCATATTGGAAAATGATATGGTATACACATTTTTCATTTTTTGTAAAAAAAAAATAATTATATGTACATCTTTTTTAAATAAGGAAATTTACTGTCTGCTGGCACTACTTATAGGCATTCTTTCTCTATTTTAGTATCGTCCAAGAGTAGATTACTCAAAATTTCTAAAAAAAAAAAAAAAAAAAAAAATGGCTTCCATTAAAGGATCTAACTTCTCACTTTTAAAATCTGATTGCTGACCAACATATTTTTTGAAGCTGATTTATTTATATTTTGCCTTTCCTTGATCCTGTAACACTTAATTGCAAAATGCTTGTTGTCTCACAGTTTCTTAATAATCTTTTAAAATAAGAGGGTTTCTTTCCTGTTTTAAAGGAGAGTCAGGGGGTCACTCTGCAAGCTAAGAATGGCTTCACATTGTTTTTTAATATTTTGTTTATTCATGAGAGATAGAGAGAGAGAGGCAGAGACAGGGAGAAGCAGGCTCCTCACAGGGAGCCCGATGCAGTCGATCCCCAGACCTGGGATCACGCCCTGAGCCAAAGGCAGACGCTCAGTCGCTGAGCCACTCAGGCGTTCAGGTCTTCACAATTTAAAGGGCTGTTTTTAAAAATATGCAACAGAGACTGCGTGTGGCCTACAAAGTCTAACTATGAGGTGACCTTTTACTGAAATCATCTGCCAACTCCTGAACCAGACCGACAACAGCATGTTCAACACAAAGAAATATTCCTTGCTCTACTTATTTTAAACAGAGCTTCTAAGACCAAGCCAGGCAATATATTGTTTCCCCCCATCTGATGACAGACCTGGCCAGAACACCCTAAGGCTGACCTCTGTTAAGGCTGACCTCTGTTTAGTCTTCTCTAAGGCTTCAATTTCACCACCTGTAGGATTCAGAGTTCCTAAATTTAGATGTAGAATCCCACGTTACAGTTAGCCAGGATTTATGTCGTCCTGGGCTCTGCTCACTTGCCCCGTGCCCAGCATTAATTCACACTTTGGAAAGTATCTTCATGAAAACGCACCAGTGCTAGGTACCAACCACATGGTGAGTGCCAGGTGAGGGACTGTACAAACCTCGAGGGAAGCAGGTGGTATCCAACACGGGAGAGGGCAAGACCCAGATACAACACATCCTGTGGCAGGGGCAGGGATCCACTGAAGCACAGACACTAAGGTACCTGGGCCCCCAGTGTAGGCATTTATACAGGAATTTCATAACAGACATGTAAACCATCTGAGACTTCAGGCTCAATAGCACAGTGCTGGGAAACGGGTTTCAAGTCTATTCCTTCAGTATACGCCAGTACATTCCATATATATACATACTGAAAAGAGGACAGTCTCATAACATGGCTCCTTTCCTGGACAGTGAAGTCAACTTGGATTCTTTGGCATTTGGCCACATTCAGCGGGCCTCACTAAGCACATGAACTAGCTACGTGCAAAGATGCCCTGCCCTCTGCTCCTGCCAGCCTAGGTGGTTGTCATGGGTGCTGACTGTCCTGGCACCATCAAGTGCAGGGCTGGGCTGCCTGCCAGACGAGAACAATGGTCAGGATATTTTCTTTGAGACTTTTTAAATTAGAAGTTCATTTCTGCGTGTCAGGAATTCTTGACGGAAGTTTTGGTTATCAAAAACTGTCCTCAGAATTTAAACAACTGTACATCTCCACCCAAATCTGGGACTGACCCACGATGCCAAGATGCCTAGGGAAACCAGATGAGTCACTGCCTAAGGAATTGGCAGAGGAGGTGGTTAACTGTTGTATATAAATGTGAAAGCTGGAAAGCAGGGAGACATCTGTGTTCAGGGGCTGAAATAAAAGCTGGGGCCTACATCCACATCAAGTAAATATTTCCACTGCTTAGAGTCACTGAAATGCAGCGCACAGTTGCTCTGGCCAACATTCCTCCCCAGAAAAGCCGTGGTCTACAACAAACCTATTTATCTGAACTTTTCATTATAACTTTACGTCTAAGAGCTCATACCCAGTTACCCAACAACAATCATGGTAATTTTCCGTCTGCTTAGATCCCTAGCTGCCTCCTCCTAGCCTCCCGGGTGTCTATGCAGCAGGCTTCCCATGAAGCCCTTCATCTTCTGTACATTAGTTTCCTATTTTACAAAACAACCCTCAGTAAAAGTTTATATGTGACTAAATATACAGATATTTTGAGAAGGGTCAAAGGAGAAAAGATACTCAGTAAACTGCAGGATATAGAAGATAATGCATCTGAGAATATTCTTCACAATTAAAAACAGTTGATAAAAGTTCTGTCATCACCTGACCTCCTTCAAAATAACTGGACTAGGGTTCAGATCAAGCAACCTGTCAGCAAAGCGAGGAACCGATTAACAAGAGACCACAGAGAGCAGACCTCAACGGCCTCCCTAGGCCCCTAGCTCCCCAACTATAACAGGGCAGCCACCCCTCTTCTCCTGCTTCATGAGGGTTATCAGAAAGAGCCAACAATTAAAGTGGTATAAATGCAAATCATCATCATCAACCTCAGCTTCTTAAGTCCCTGTCCTGAAGGACTTACAGATACCGACACTCAGGCGAGGGGCTGGCCGAGCACAGGAGCCGCCCTGGCGAGTCTGGCTGTGGGCATGTAGAACATGTCTAAACACCAAAAAGCTGTCCGTGTAGTCACAGACTTGTGCTTTGGGAAGATTTCTCAGGATACTAATGGTTCTAACATTCATCTCCCCCTGTCCCCATGCCCTATTTAAAAAGAAAAATGCACAGTGGCTCCCTTTAGAAAGAATGCTAACTTTTTCTAATAAGGTAAATGAACAGAGTACAGTGGAATAGTATTTCTTGATACTCCCTTCAAATAACTCACATTCCCCGTGGCACCTTTTCAGAAACATTTGGGTGTGTATTTTAAAAAGGAAGCCCTAAATTCTGCTAAACTGATACCCTGTTGCTTCCTCTCAAAATTAAACTAACCTAAGACAAAAGACAACATTTCCAGAAATGCTGAAAAAGCCAAAAATTAGCTCTACTCTAATGGTTTTGAAATTGTGGGTTTGAATTTTGTAAAGCACACTCATCTATAATTTTTACATTCTTTTAACTTTCCAAATTTGGTTTTTCCAATGAAAGCAGGATTCTGGTAAAAATTAATTTTAAAATGTGTCTGAATAAGACCAAATTAACTCTCAGCAATCTACTCGATAGCACTTAATGTAACCAAGGAAGAGAGAAAAAAGAGGAAAAGAGCAAGTTTATACAAAACACAACTATATAGAAAACCACTCATAAGGAAAATTAAGACAAAAATTATAGCTGATCATTAAGGGTAGAGATCTTCTCCCCTTCTCTTCTTTTCCAACAAATTTTGTAATTTTATAAAGACATGCAGAGATAGAAGGAGTTATAAAAAGTAAGTCAATTGAACTGACCTTTAAAGACTCCTGTATATGCCCTGAAGCCTGGTCTTCCCTAAGGTTCTCTGGATAAACAAACACTCCTGTCTAGAGATGCAAAATATGGATGCAAATATGTTCTAACTCTTCACTGTCAACTTTGTATTCCGCAAGTGTCACCTGCCAGTGCTGCTCTCTGGGTTAGTAATGAGAAGTGGCCCTGCAAACTGGAGAGGATAAGCTTCTGAAGCAGCCCTTGGCTCTCCCAGAAGCTGAAACCTTTCTAGTCCCATGGAAAGCAGTGAATGAAGTATTTCAGGGAGTGAAGGAAAATAAAACTTACTCAAAAAGAAGCAACAAGAGCTGCCTTCACATCCACGAATCAAAACTTCACTCCTAAACCCAGCAGCCCCCCAGAGGAAAAGGGGCCCTTGGCGCATCTAAGGTGAGGGTGAGCTCACCACACAGCAGCAGCCACCTTGGCCTGGTACTTGAGATCAGGGACTTGCAGTGATTACACAGAAGCTGTTGCTATGTTCCAGAAAATACATCCCCCCAAAGTTAAGAGCACACACCAATGGACTCTTAGCACCAGGTTTGCACACTTGATGATTAGGTTACGACCATAGGCAGGAAAAGACCTACTTTCCAGGGGAAGATACCCCCCCCCCTCTCCTGAAGGTCCTCTATTCGTCAACTGCTAAACAGGTGTGCCCGTCTGCTCCCTCCACACGAAGGAAAGAAATACTTGTCAACAGTGGGAACTGGCCCTGGCTGGAGCGCAGGTATCCTTTCTGTGACCTGAACCTCAGCTGGCAGGGACGCTGGAGGGGGTCACACCGCAGGGGGCGCGTCACCATCACCGCGGGGGGCGGGAGGGGGACAGATGCAGAGTACTTACCGCAACGAACAGCATGCAGTACATGGAGAACGATGAGTGGCCCGAGTAAAAAGACAGTCTGGAAGAGAAAAAGACAAAGGTCAATTTTCTTTCCTAGAGGCCGACGATAGCTCAGTCGTACTGCCGCGGTGCATCCACCTCTGCCCCTCACCCTGAGAAACTAGCAGAGCGGGGAACGAGGGCAGGACAGACATTAGAGAGTCTTGGGGGAGGAAGGGTCCTTTTACAGAGACTTCCGGCAGGGAACAAAGCTGAGACACACATATTTGAAGTAATGCTTGACAAGCCACAACTAGTACGCAAATGCTCTGACATCATTACACATAAACTTATATGACCGTGATTTACGTTTTCTTTCTACCTGCAGGGCCTGCCCCTGAGTACTAGTAATACCTCCTTTGGAACACTCAGAAGTTAACTACTTTTTTAAAAATAAAGTAAGTTCTAATAAACCAGAAGTGGTATCTTAGCATTTTAAGCAGGCACACATTTTGCCTTAGATTTCCTGCCACATTCAAGTGTTTTTGTTTAACATTTATTTTAAAGCCGTGCACTGATGAGTCCTCTCTTTTCAGTATTACATTCTATAAACATGTGAGTCTCATCTTCCCACCCAAAATGACAGAATGCTTGCAAAACTTAATTTTATGGCACTGTTTGGAATAGGCAGAAAGCTCTCTAACATCCATGATCTAACTTCTGCTTACACAGTGCTGGCCACTGGAGCAGAAAAGGCAGGCACATCTGATACAGTAAAGTAACTCCCTGCAAAAAGATGCATCAAAGAATCAGAATGCTTCTCCTGAAAGCTTTCCCTGCATATGAATAAGAACAGAACTCAGGACAGGCTTCTAAGTATATTACTTATTATACCCTGCTTGATTCAAAAATAATTTGGTTGCCTGAATTTAGAGAAGTGAAATTAAAACACAGATCAGAAAGTCATCTGTGTACGTTTGGCAACTGAGGATAGGTGGGAGTGGAGATTTCTTAAGCCTGTGTCGGATTTAATCTATGTAAAACATGAAGAAAAATAAATTACTTTTAGCCTCACCAACTGTTTGGCTGTAGAGAAAAGATCAATACAAATCCTTACTTTAAATCAGATAATTAGAGCAGAATTCTATACATTTTATGTTTAAGTTATACTGAAGAGCCTACAAATAAATAAAAGCCAATTTCAAGGACTGTCAAAGCCCATTAAGCCAACATGACCACGATCAAAGAAATGTTCTCAAAGCCAAGCAAGTTCAAAGTTTCACTAAGACTTCATCTTCAGAGTATTCATTGTACACTATGCCACAAAATTATAAATTCCAAAGCTATGTAATAGTTTTAAATAGTTCTGATTTAGTCACAGGGTGATTTCATTAGTTGAAAACAAAATGGTTTTAGTTTTTTATTCCAAATACATAAACAGATATTTGGTAGAGAATCAAACAATAACCTCTGACTTCAACAAACAAGGATTAAAATAAAGGGAACACTATTTGACCCCAATTTCTAAGTCTTTACCCACAGTAAGTGATCAAACAAATCACAGCAATGTGGATTTTTACTATTAAAACAGAATAAAACACCCAAAAATAAATTCAAGTTATTTTCATATTCCACAAACATCTTTTTTTTAAAAGATTTTATTTATTTGAGAGTGAGAACACTGGAGCAGTGGGAGGGAGGAAAGGAGAGGAAGAATCAGACTCCCCACTGAGCAGGGAGCCTGATGTGGGGCTCAATTCCAGGACCCTGGGATCATGACCTGAGCCAAAGGCAGACGCTTAACGGACCTGAGCCACCCAGGTGCCCCCATACACATCTCTTTAATGGAATCTCTATGAGATACATTTCTTTATTACGTCTGAAACTCACAAATGAACAAAGAATTGTATGAGTAGTTTGATAAAATCCCAAAAATCGTCACTTCCTGGCCGGCACAGTAGGTGAAGCATGTAACTTGATCTAGGTGTTGTAAATTCAAACCCTACGTTGGGTGTAGAGATTACTTAATTTTTTTAAAAAAGTAATACTGGGGATCCCTGGGTGGCGCAGTGGTTTGGCGCCTGCCTTTGCCCCAGGGCGCGATCCTGGAGACCCGGGATCGAATCCCACATCGGGCTCCCCGGTGCATGGAGCCTGCTTCTCCCTCTGCCTGTGTCTCTGCCTCTCTCTCTCTGTGTGTGACTATCATAAATAAATGAAAATTAAAAAAAAATAGTAATACTAAAAATCTAAAAATCCCAAAAGTAGTTGAAATGCAGATTGTTTTCATCATAGTAACCTTACTTAAGTATTTAAGACTTTGGCCCTGGCCTCAGAATGCCAGGTCATTCTTAGATTCAGCCCAATCCTAGACTACTATTTCACTTCAGGAGAGCCCTTCTAAGGAATGTAGATAAACAATTTGTGCCAACTTTTCATCAAAGCTTAGGAAAGTCTTTTCAGAGAGAAAATTTACAGAGAATATATTCTGGAATGCAGCTATTTTACTAATTCAGGCATGGTCCATTACACTGAGCAAGTACGTGAGTCTTGACAATGTAACTTTCTGTGGATGACATTCTACTCCAAATGGCAAATTTAAGATTTTTTTTTCCTTTTATTTGTCAGCCAAGACATCCCTTTCTCCTGGGAGAGCTTATTAAACTTGGCCTGAACCCCGATGTCCTAGCTTTCTATGGTTTACAGCCAATCCACCCCTCATAGTGTCCATGTGTTCCCACTCCTCAATCCATCATCCTTCCTTCTCAGTTTTCCAACATCTACATAAATGTTCAGGCTTATCAACTGCAACAGCCAAAATCCAACCTTTATCAGTCATCAGAAGCAAGCAACTCACGTAATTTATAGTGTTTAACTTTTTAAATGGCATTTATTAAGTATTTTAGGACTCATGGGAAGGTTAAATCACAACCTCCTAAAAATCTCACTGCTTGTCCTCTGACTTCTTTTCCTCATCCCCACACCCCAGAGTTAAAAGGCACAAAACAGTTATCCCTTTCACTATTTTAGTTTGAAATTTCTAGTTTGCATTCATTCTTGAGGGATGGTTTTCTGGAATATAGAATTGTAGGTTAATCTTTTTTCTCATCACTTTGAGGGCATCAATAGACTATCTCTGGCTTCTACTTTTGCTATTAAGATAGAAGCTGTCTGTCTGCCATTCACCTGTCCTTTCTCTGTAATTACCCTCCCCCCCCACCACCACCACCACCACCTCGGTCTTCAGTATTCTCCAGTCTCACAATCATGTATCTAGTAGGAATGTCTCTTTATCTGATTTCATATTCACTGGCTTCTCATGTATATACTACACCAATTTTGGACACGTCTCAGCCATCATACCTTTGTTAATATCCTCCATCACACTCTCTTTTTGTGAGATTCAGGTTCAACGTGTTTGACATTTTCATCCTATTCCTAATTTTAACTTTGTACTCTCATCTTTGTCTTCCATTTTAGCCCTCACTTTCGCTAATGTTTTATCAGTCTATTTTTTATATAAATTACTATGTATGTATCATTTATAAATCTCTTTGGTTCTTTTTCAAATCTATGGTCAATTTTGATTCTATTCATCCTATATTATATTCTCAGTCTCTGATTTATTTCCACAGAGTAGACATATTTATTATATATTCTATATGATAATTCTACTATCTGCAACCTTTGAGAGCTTATGTAGTTTGTCGTATATCCTGACCCTCACTGAGGGTAGCTTGTTTCTATGTATATTCATTCATATGAGAATATGAACTCATGTCTTTAGGATTCTATCTGTGGGGAATCTTAGAGGCCTTGGTTTAAAAAGAATTCTTCCAAAGATTTGTGTTCCCTCCCACTGGGTTCACTAGCAATCCACTTTAAATTCTTTTCTTTTTAAAGTCACACACCACACACACTGATTCTGGCACCTGTAGTTACGAATTCTTTCTGACAGTCCCCCCGCCTGGGAAGATGTTGCCCTCTGAGAATCTTTAAATTATCCCTGAGTCCCCCTCTGTCTACCCTGCACTGGCCTCAGTCTTTATCTCTAGGGCCCCATGGTCAGAGCCCATCCAAACTGAGGCTCCAGGCTACCAAGAAATGGCACATACTTTCAGGTACACATCAGATCTACAGCATTAACAAAGCCCAACATCAGGGGACCCCTGGGTGGCTCAGCGGTTGGGCACCCACCTTCGGCTCAGGGTGTGATCCCAGGTCCGAGATCGAGTCCCACACTGGGCTCCCTGCAGGGAACCTACTTCTCCCTTTGCCTGTGTCTCTGCCTCTCTCTTTCTGTGTGTGTGTCTCTCATGAATGAATAAATAAAATCTTTAATAAAAAAAAAATAACCCAACATCAGGAAAATTCCCTTACTTTTTCATCAGCTTGGCTATTCATTAAAAAGACTTATTTATATGTGTTTACATATATTTTTAAATATGTAATAACATGTGCATATGTGTGTGTATAACGTATTACCTAGCACATGTAACTCTGTCAATAAGTATTTCTAATCCTCATATTGCCAGAAATAGGGGCAGGCATTTTTAAAATAAGAATTAGGACTAGGAGTGCCTGGGTGGCTCAGTGTCTATCTGCCTTCACCTCAGGTCATGATCCCAGGGCTCTATGCTCTGGAGGGAGTCTGCTTCTTCCTCTCTCTCCCCCCGCCCCTGGCTCATGCTGACGCTCTCTCTCAAATAAATAAAACCTTAAAAAAAAAAGAATTAGGACTAATAAAATGTTATCTCAAATCAACTGCTTTACTAGGAGGCATATAGTGTGGCAAAAAGAGTTTTTCATCTGCGGTCAATGCTCACAAATGTTTTTAATTATTAGTCTTCTGCTAGTTCACTGGATATGCCACAGTTGGCTCTGGGGAACTTCTTTTCCCTAAACATCATCCTGAAATTCATTCCTAAAGTGTTTTAAGGCAGAAAGGTTGTCAGAAGACTTAACGCTTCCAAACTACTGAGCACTTTCCATGCATAGGTATTTAATCCACAATACTTCCATTCTTCAAAAAATCCCCATAGTGGGGGCTGTCAATCCTATTTTACATAGAAAGACCCT